GAGTGCTGCTTTCACCGTCTTGGTTTCTGGGTGATATTGTCCTATATGATATTTTCAAGTTTGTCTGCCATTGTTGATAATTCTCTGTCCATAGTGATCCATAAATTTTGTTCATAACACTGGTTGTATTTTTACTACTTTCTTCATTTTCTTCTTGTCTAGAAATATTCTTTATGTTTTCTTATTTGAGGGATAATTGTGCTGGTATAGGATTCTTGGTTAGCTTTATTTTCACTCTCTCAGAATTTGATATATGTCACCCCATTGTCTTTTTGCCTGAGTGGTGTTGCCAGTTTTCCTCTGTGGGTGATTTTTCTGAACTTCCCTTAGCTGCCCTCGGGATTCTCTCTAGTTCCTTGAAATTGTAGAATTTGACTATCATAAGTCACAATGCTTTGTTTTTGAGGTTCCTGCCAGCTTCTTAAAGAGTTATTTCATCTTCCTTAGTGATGTTAGATAATGTCTCATACTATTTTCTCTGTAGTTTTGTTTTCTCTTGTTGAGGATCTGCATGAGACAGAGGTTGGTGCTCTTGACAATGCTCCTCATCACTCTCGGGCTTTCACTGGGTTCCTTTGCTGTTTTGTTGCTTGTTTCTCTTGGTTGTAGTCTGAGCCAATGGATTTGAGCTTGCTGATATCATTTTCTTTTCCTTCTATTTCTCACCTATTAACATGAGGCCGAGTTCTGTAATCCTATTTGTCTTCTGGGATCTCTTTTGATGTAAAGTTCCTAGGTTTCAAATCTTTGTGTTATTCTCATGAGTATTTCCCATATCTCTGGAAGTAACTTAAACATCAATCTTCTTATTTAGATTTCTGGCAACTCCAAGGCCTCTTTTTCAGAGTCTTCCATTGGGTTTGGGTAATTTTAAGTTATTTTTGTTTGCTTTTCTTGATTGGGGGGGGTTGAATTGTGATAGGCTGCGGTTTCCATGGCATCGAGAGGTGCAATTATTGGTGGTTTGTGAGCTGCTGGGTCATATAGGGGTGGTTGCCTATGATGTGGGGGAGGTCTAACAAGAGCCAGAAAACATCCAGGGGAGACACGTAAGCAGGAGAAGAAGAAATAAAAGAAAAGAATAGTAATAATAATTGTAATAATAAACCTTCCAATTAGACCAAAAGGTTTATTTTTAAAAATGGGTAAATGTATTTTCAGAGGGGTAATAATAATTAATAGGTGTCATGGTAACACAGTTCATAAGGAAACTGAGTACAAGAGGAGAAAGTGATAATGGGTGTTGCATGAGAAAAGTGTAAACAAATAATCAGACCCTAAGCAGAAGATTTGTGTAAATATATATTTAAAAGACAAAAAGACAGAAGGGAAGAAGATGCAAGAATAAAAAGAGTAACAAAAAATTTTGAATGTGCAGAACAGAGAAGGATAAGCAAAGGACGGGAACATGGCTTGGGTGTGAATGCTGGAGTCCTGTTGCTATGTCGGCGTGGGCATGGGTATGTGTCTGCTCTCAGAGTAACAGGAAAAAAACTGGTTAAAAGAATATAATCATGGTCTGGGTGGGTTTGCTTTGGGAGGCGTACATATTCACAGGGGGATATGGGGCACATGGGAGAAGGAAGTAGAAGAGAACAAGGAAAGAAATGAAAAACTATTAAAACATACCGAAAACACAAAAACCAAAGGGGAAAATTTTAAATAAGTAAAATAAATATTTAAAGCCACCGTTTAGATGAAGATTCCTGTTTCTCTGTGCTTGCGATTGTATGCACACAGCAGCACATTGGAGGTGGGCTATGTAGTAGAGGAGACACCAGAGAAGAAAGTAAGAAGAAAGGGAAATGCCAAAAATGTTTCTGGAGTAGTGTGGATATCTGCAGCAAGCTGCCCACACGGTCTACTATCCACACAGGGCCCTTAGAGGCCAGAGAGGTAATTTCCCCAGAGCCACTGAATTCGTTCTATTAGTCAGCACTGTGAATAGTCTTGCTCTCCAGCAGCATGCCCTCCTCTAGCCATGGAAGAGAATGGCAATCTAGCCCTTAGGGACTTGTCTGAGTATATCATGAGTCCTATCCTGACTGCCTTGGTTGGAGAACCCCTGAACCAATCTTGTAAGTCCTACTAACTTGCATAATGTACATATGCCAATCATGGTCCCATTCCTGTTTATGTGGCCCTGCCTGCAACTATAATATATTGACCTGACCCCAACCATGCTTTTGCGACAGCTTCCCTGATATTATCATGTCCTTTTTAAGTGGTCAGTTTTCTGTAAATCCATGGACACCTTTGTGGTCTGTCTCCATGGTCTTCTTCATCTGGATGAATTATCTTTGTCTTTGACTTGGTCTTGTTGTTGCCATGTTTAAGACGTGATAACTGTGCCTCTATAAATTATATGTAAATCTTGGATCTCTTTTCTGTCATACAACAAATGTACCATGATTATTTTGTACTTCTCTTATCCACTCTTCTTCTAAAGTTGTTGGGGCCAAGGACTGTATCATTTTTATTCAACTTAAAGGCAGGGCTACCTCAGAGGTTTAATAGCTTCTAGGAGCCTCTGTGTTGACTTAGAGATCCAGCCTTTCAATTAGCCACTGAGCTGAATACAATAAGCATTCCAATACTCAAAGATTCCATTCATCTTTATGTCCTACTTCAAGGACTACCACAATGGCGTACTCTTGCTTTGAACATAATAAGTAACAGTGAATGACTATATAGCAATTTCTATGATCCAGGTGCTATTCTAAATAAAAGCTTATATATATTTAGTCGCCTGCTCCAACAAAAGTTATAAGATGAAGAAACTAGGGCACAAAGGGTGTAACCTTACCAAGATCACATATATAAAAAAATAACAAAAAACCCAAACTGAGAATTACAGAGTAGAGCTGTTCTATGTCTATCCAGATGGAAGCAGACTGCCTGATGTTTCTCTTGTGAAGCAGCTTGTGGGTTCAAACTACTAAATATTCTGTTAACAGTCCAATGCTTAACCCATTGAGTGTCCCAGGTTTCTAAGATGACATAGTTAGTAAGTAATAAAGCTGGAACTTGACCCTGGGTTGTCAGGGTCCTGAGTCTGCCCTATTAACTGCTTTATCACACTGGTTCTCCAACTTAATATTTATTAAACTAAATCAGGTAAAATTTTTGAATCTCCAAGCCATCATTTTTAGTCCGTTTTTACAAAATTAATTATTTGATACTTATAATGAAACTATGAAGTGGGCCAAGAAATCTTAACATCATTTGAATGATGAGGAAATTGACCCATGCCAGGCACACCCAGGGAGTTAGTTGCCTGATAAAAGCAAAGCCAGAGCACATCATTTTGGTTTCTATTCTTTCCCTTATATTGCAAATGGTTGTGGTAAGAATCTCATCATGTAACCAAGGCCAAGAGTCCTAAGGAGCCTCATAAAATCACTATTCATTTATAAGATATCATTGTACCACTAACTAAATCACACTAAATTGAAGACACAGAGGAGTAAAGACATGACCATGTGTAAAACATAGACATTTATCTCCACCCAATGTAAACAAATTCAATTTGTTAGGACCACAGATACAGACAGAATTTTGGATTCTCATCAATGAGCGAATAACCCAAATCAACTCAACTGTTGTGTAGGTCAATTTTGTGTAGCCAATTGTCTAGGTCAACTTTGACTCACAAAGACCCTGTAGGACAGAGAACTATTCCTTATGGTTTCTGAGACTATAGACCTCAGGATGTGTAGGCCCATGCTTAACTCACAGTGCCACCAGGGTTCCTTTGATGAGTAAAAAAATTTTAAGCCAAAAACACACATATAAAGAATATTGTTATAAAAATTAGGAGCTCTATGAGCATTATGGAGAATTTCTTTATTGATTTTTTTTCCACTATGTAACATGACCTCAACTAGTCCTAATAGCCTCATAAAATCATTTCTAAAATATCATTGTAGCCTTAACTATATCACACAAATTTAAATAAAAATTGGATACTCAAAATTATCATTACAGAAAAATAAGTAAGGTATCCATTACTGCACTTTTTCCTGTATATTTTACTTTCAATAAAAGACTTGGCATTTGGAGTAAACACACACCTCTGATAGAGAGTACTGTAGGTGAGGACAAAGTAGAGAAATAAATTGGGGAAATTCAGCTAGTGAGAAGAGATAAAGCCTGCTTTGTATGACATAAATGCTTTATATGCCATAAATGATATAAGACAAACAAATATATAGTCAAGTACAGTATATGAAACATTAAAGAAGAGGTAATGCCTGTCAACTCTATCATCTAACTCAAAGAAAGCCAGTCTGTCATGAGTCAAGGCCAACTCACGGTGGCTCCACATAGGTCAGAGGAGAGCTGTCCTCCCTGGGGTTCCCAGAGGCTGATTTCTCAGAAAGACATAGCCAGGTCTTTCTTCAGAGCAGCATCGAGGAAGACTCCCATCCCAGGCTTTCAGTTAGTAGCCAAGCTCGTTAACCACCTGCACCACCCAGAGGCTCCAATGCAAAGCAAAGTGACTGCGCTTAGCACCTGAAGGATTCCAGGATCAAAACCAAACTCACTGCCATTGAGTTCATCTGACCCAGAGCGACCCTCCAGGACAGGGTAGAACTGCCCCGGTGCGTTTCAGAGACTACACCTTTATGGAAGTAGAAAGCCTCATTTTTCTCCCACAGAGTAGCTGGTTATCCTTATGGTTAGAAGTCCAACTTGTAACCCGCTACACCACCAGGGCTTCTAGGATACATTTTCAAAAGAGTTGTTAGATATTGGAAAGGATTACATGGGGAAGTGACAAAAATCCTTCTCTAAGAGTCTTAGTAAAAGGAAAGAAAGAAAGAAGGGAAGAAATGACACAACAATAAACATTCCTCAAGGCAGCCTAGTTCTGAAGGGTAGAAATACGTGTCTTCACAACTGACATGAATGTCTGCTATCTAACACAATGGGCTCCAGATTCCCGGCCCACCCCAACCCCCCACCTCTCACCCTTGTGGATCCACCTGCATACACACCTTGGACTGAAAGGAATGCAGAGCCATCCTGGTCACTGTTCTGAAGGCTGCATTTGATGTGGCCTGCATCTCTGAGTTTCACATCATGGATAATCATCTCAGAGATGAAATTGCCATCCACTTCATAACTGGCAGAGGTGAACCGTTCGTTTGTGATGATGGGCTCTTTGGGAGTGAGGCTCAGAACCACTGTGTTGTTTAGCGCCCACATGATGAGCTTCCAGCCCGGTGACACGGTGCAATTGAAGCGAGCCTCTGAGCCCTCCAACACTGTTGCATTCTTGGGGCCTTCTAGGATTTGATAGCTGGATCCAGAAGCTAAAAGGCAACCAAAGTTTCAAGCCAAGAAGTGAGTCAATCAATATAAACCAACTGTACAACTTAAAACTTCTGGGTTGACCAGTTGGAATCCCCTGCAGTTTCACCTAGTAACTCAGACTCTATATCCTACTGGCCCAACACGAGGTCTCCCACCGGTAGATCAGAAACCTCCAGGACCACCAGGACATCTTCCCCCTCTACCATCTTTCTTTCCACCACCTAACTTTGTGTTGCTGTGATGATGGGAGCTATGCCACCAGATTTCAAAGAGCAGTGGTGTCACCATTGTGGACAGGTGTCAGTGGAGCTTCCAGATTAAGACAAACTAGGCATGGGAGGTGGGGCAAGTTCTGATAATCTACTTCTGAAAATCAGCCATTACAAAATTAGAATATATTGCCTGATATGTTCTTCCCCCTATGTTGGAAGGCACTTCACAATAGCTGACGACAATCGATTCCACCACAGAGGTCATCTGATGGTGTAAGAGGAAGTGTGCCTCCAAATAACTACTGCCTCCCTCCTTAACTTCTCAATTTATATGGTCAAATTGTAAGGCCAGTTCTAAAATAATCGCTTTCTAGCCCTAAAACTTTCTGGGGAGGGACCAAGCTGATACACATTAACGCTTCACCTGCTGTGTGAGTCTGGGTACTTTAGAGAAACAAATCCACAGAAACTCATATGTATAAGAAAGAGTTTTATATAAAGGGTAAGTGCACATCAAGAAAACATCTCAACCCAGAGCTTCCCAAGCCCATAAGTTCAACATTAGCCCATATGTCCAACACCAATCCACAAAGTCCTCCTCCATCTCACAAACACACACAATGATGCCGACTGCAGGAGGAAAGCCGAATCAGTGAATGTGTAGGCATCTCAGTGCTGGCAGGGGTCTCCACATAGCTGCTCCAGCACCCAGGGCTGCATCGGGGTAAGTCCATGTGGCTTCTCCTCAGGGATGTCTTGGAGGAAGTCAGCCTTGCCAGCTGAAGCAGAGAACTGGCTAAGGCAGCTGCACCCTGATCCGACCATCACAAAATAAGAGACCCAAGAACTAGAAAGGCGAGGCTTACTGAACCATTTATCCTTCCACCCTTCAATGAACCCCACCTGTGTTTATCAGCCAGGTTAAACGAACAATAAACTAACTACCTCACCTGCATACCCAGAATGCTCTGTCAGAACCTGTCGATGGAGAGAATGAACTACGTCACAGAACACAATTGTAGGGGTAAGCAGTGACAGGTGGCTCACACAGCAGCCGGAAGCAACAAAGGAGGCTAATCTAGTGTTTCTGACAGCAGGATTTCTTTAATAGTAGAATTCTCTCTGTCACAAGTGACAGCCTAGTTCAACCTCATCAAATGAAACCTGTGTGCAGCCACCACCCCTGTGTCAGTTGGGGAATATGTACTGCTAGGATGCTCAACAGATTTCAGAGGCACTTCCAGCTTAAGATAGACTAGGAAGAAAGTTCTGGCAACCCACTTCTGGAAAACCTATTGATCACGAAAGTCAGACTAAAGACCCCAGGAGTCAGCGGTTGGTGGGAAGGCAGCTGATCACTATTGTCTTGTTTGTGGGCGCAGTATAAAAACTCTAAACTAAAAATCCACTTAGCTTGGGTCTTATCCCTTACCCTTAACTTTGGACAAGTCCTTTTGATCTAAAAATCCCTTTGATCTGAGTTTTTTTTTTTAAGTGTGAAGAAAGGAGGTAATTCATTATTCCCTAGGGAGGCTAGGCCCTGTACCAGCTCAGCCCTTTCCATGAATTCTGAACTGTACTTTCAGAAAAGGGGGGAAACTAAAGAAAAAGGCAAATCTAACCCCAGAGGAAAGAGACCAAACCTACTCTCCTGCTCCATGCTATAATAACAACCTTCTCCCCAATCCTAACTACCACCCACCCACGGCATTGAGTTGATTCCAACTCATAGTAATCGAGCATGACATAGTAGAACTGCGCTATAAGGTTCCTAATGCTCTAAATCTGCACAGAAGTGACTGTCACATCCTCCTTCTATGGAGCTGCTGCTGGTGAATTTGAACACCTGATCTTTCCATTAGCAGTCAAGCACTTCAACAACTGCACCACCAAAGCTCCCACAGAAGGACTAACCAGAGCTGACAAAACCCTTCTAGTGCTGTGTAGGGTAAATGCAGAGGTGGGTGAGTTCCAGGGCCTCCAGGCCAAAAAAAAAAAAAAATCAACATAAGAAGCTCACCCACTTGAACCCACAGCTCCTTTCTCTGCTCAATGAGATAGTGAAATTAGTTCATGCCTGAACACTATTCTCTGAAACCAGCATTTTAAAATCCCACAGTTAGGAAAATTCCTTAGACATAACCCAGAACTTTAAGAGCATGAATCTTGGGACCTAGAGGCTGAAGACTATAGTCTCAGGAGACCCAAGTTCAATTGGTCAATGCCATTGCTCACAATGACAATGTTCTGCATCCTACTTTGGTGAATAGTGACTGGGTTCTTAAAAGCTCATGAGCAGTCATCCAAGGTACAACTATTTTGGCGTCTCCCTATCCAGAGGATATAGAAGATAAAAATCAAAATTAGTCCAACGGACCACAGAAACATAAGTCTCTATAAGCCTGAGACCAAAAGAACTAGATTGTACCTGGCCATCACAACCAACTTCTACAAAAAGGATGCAATTTGAAGGTCCTGGATAGAGTCGGCGTGGGAGTGGGGGTGCAGAATAGAAAACAGAACCCCCAAATGTGAAAGAGACCAGAATTATTGGTTGTATAGAGACGAATAGAACTCCCAAGACTGTGGCCCTTAATCACCCTCAGATTAGAATCATCAGCCACTTAAGATCACAAGGGAAGCATTGACTCAAGAAAAGAGGGTCAGGAAAGGAGGAGGGATGGCCACAGGAAGCACTGGGCGGAAGTGGGATAAGTGACAGTCCCTTGAGGGGATTTAAAGGGGCGATTGTAAACACCATGTGAATAAATTCTTACATGTAAAACTGATGACCTGCTCTGTAAACTTTCACCGAAATCACGATAAAAAGCTAAAAAACAAAACAAAACACAGACTGAGGAGTCATAAAATCTACGCAAGCCCCATATCTTGCATGGCAGTTGGTGTTCCAGACATTGCTGGGATTAAGCTAGAAGGAGGGCAAGAGCTACTCCCAGGGGAAACTCTAACTTGAGTGTGGCTTTCACCTTCAAATTAAACACACACGCACAGTTGCCCTAGTCGACTCCAACTTATGATAACTCTTGGGATTTCAACAGTTGATATGTCTGAAGCAGATTATGAGGTTGTGCTTCCAAAGCACCGCTGGCTGGGTTCAAACTCTGAGCCAAAACGTCAAGTCCTGAGCACTCAAGTCCTCTGAAAATGTCACCTACTACAACCACAAGGAAACTCTCCTTCTGCTGAACCTCAAGATTAAGAAGTAGTATTTCTGGCAATGTAAGTATCGGACCACTTCTAACACTGTCTAATTTCTGCTACCGGTCTGTGCAACTCTGCCCCACAAGAACAAACATGAGATCGTTGTAAATAAGACCTTTAATCAAACAATCAAGTACTGCAACTCACAACTTCCTTTTCCTCTTTGCCCTTCTTTTTACTGTGTACAACATGGGGACAAGTCGGGTGTCAATGCATCACCACCCACACCCTTGCCTCCACCCAGCAATATTCCCAAGTCCCCAGTTTCGGAGCCACCTAACACCAGCTCCTAGTCTCTGCTGTCTACATTGTTTTCTTTGTAGGCAATATCCGCTGTAGGCAATATCCGCTTGCAAGAATTTGTTCTTGTGATTACAGTAAATATGTATGTAACAACACATTTGCAATTTCAACATTCCTCACATCTGCAATTGAGTGACATTCATCGAATTCCTCATGTTGTACAAACATCATCATTATCTCTTTCTAATCATCCTTAACTTTCCTATCGGTGTTCCCCAAGCAATGATTCGTTTCTCCCTCCCCCTCCTCTCCATGTCTGGTTCATGAGAGCTCATATAAGTGGTCCTTTTGTGTTGGCATTTCATACAGCATGTTTTCAAGGTTTATCCATGCTGTGGTATGTGTCAGGACTTCATGTCTCTTTACAGTTAGGTAAAAATAGTTTAAGAAGTCTTGGTGTCGCCTGTGTTATCATGAGGTGTCGATGGGATCAGGGATCGGGCATCAAAGATCCAGAACAAAAATCATATCATTGTGAATGAGGGGGAGTGCGGAGTGGAGACCCAAAGCCCATCTGTAGACAATTGGACAGCCCCATACAGAAGGGTCACAAGGAAGAAACAAGCCAGTCAGGGTGCAGTATAGCACTGTTGAAACATACAACTTTCCTCTAGTCCTTTAATGCTTCCTCCCCACCCCACCCCCACTATTATGAACTCAATTCTACCTTACAAATCCAGCTAGACCAGATAAGATACAGATAAGAGCTGGTAACACGGGGAATCCAAGACAGATAAACTCTTCAGGACCCATGTTGAGAGTAGCAATACCAGGAAGGTAAGGTGAAGCTTGGGGGCAGAAAGGGGGTGGGAGGATGGGGAAGGAAAGGGATAAAGGGGAGATGAGATCAAGGAGTTCAAAAAGAAAGAAAATGTTTTGAAATGGACTGTGGTAGCAATTGCACGATACTGCTTGATGTGATTGAACTATAGAATGTTATGATATCTGTAAAATGATTTTTTAAAAAGATTTACAATCTCAGGAACCCACAGTTCTACCCTGTCCTACAGGGTCGCTGTAAGTGAGAATTGGCTCAACAGCAATGGGGTTTTTAGATGCACATCAGCTTCCTTTCAGCTTCACACTGCCCCACACTCTGTCTTCTGTAATTTATCAACTAGCCAACCCTCTCTAGCCTCTACATAGCTCTCTTCATAGGCAGGCACTCAACCTGAAGTACCCATCCCATTTACTACCGTTAAGCCTCACCTGCTAGAGGAGTTGCCTTCTCTTCAGGGAAGCCTCTTAGACCATGCTCTTTGGGTTATAAATTCTTCTACCTGAGGTTCTGAAAGCATTGGTACTTCTTTGACACAGTTGTCACAGTGCTGATTTTATATTGTATTTAGTGTGTCTATTGAAGACATCTATCCCCACTTCTAGGCCCTAAGCTCCTGTTGCTCAAAACTTTCCTAGAACTGGTCAAACTAGTTGAGTCACGGCTGATTAAATGAAAACTGCAGACCTGAATCCCATCCCCCACCCCAACCCCACCCCCAATCCGGGTGATCCGGAGCACTAATTATATGGGAAACGCCATGGATTGACTCCCTGCCGTGGGAAACTTGGAAGAGGCATGGCCAGCCTTTCAGGGCCTGACCTGTGATGTTGGACTATTGGCAGGACTGCGGAGAGCAAGCCACGCTCAAAGCAGCAGCCCAGTCCGCTGCCATCTTTCAGATGACCACCAACCTTTTCAATTCAATTGGTCAAGAGATTCGGGTGGCCATGCACATGTTGTCCTTGCTTTCTCAAAGGGAAATTAAGTTTCTATTGGGCTTTAACCCATCATTCTTTCAATACCAGTTAGCATTCCACTTCACCCACATTTTAAAAGTCTGGGGCCATTGTGATGGTACTTCATCTGCTTGGCAGGAACAACAGCTGGTTTCTTTTTAGCCTAGTGATGGCCAGGAAGTAACATGTGTCCCTTGCAATGGTTGGGATTTATGTCATCCAGACACTAGATGAAGGTAAGGGTGGAGCTCAACTTATCAATCAGGTCATAAAAAATATCAGATCATAGCCTGATGACACGGCCTTGGGGCACATGGCCTTTTGTACAAGACAGAGACTCTGAGCAAAGCCGAGCCCCTTCTTGCCCTTTCACCTTCTGCTGAATCTGGATCCATCGATCTCCCATTGTGTTGCCTGCCCATCCCAGGAGCCCTCAGCAAACTTTACATTTGTTTACCTCTGCACCCACCAGCCTGTGGTCCTCCTGCTTCATCATCCTGTTTCCCATTTATCAGCCTTGCAGCTCCCGAGTCAGGAGAAGCTTCAAGCTTACATCTGTCGAACCAGACTGGACATATTCAGTACTATAACTATGGAAGCCTTTTCCTGATAGAACTTTCTTTCTACTTACATAGACATCACAACTGCCACTGGTTTTACTTCTCTAGAAAACCCAACCTAACACATCAGATCAGCACTTAGCAACTACTCAGAGATCTGTGGTTCTATTTTTTAACAATCACTGTTGAAAATCCTGTGGAACATAATGATATCCTGGCACAGATGGGGTTGCCCTGAGTCTGAATCATCAACTTCAGGACAATGTTATTTTATTTAGTTAGTTTTTGCTTTTGGGGAGGCTCTGTTGTTATTAGCTGCCCTCAAGTCAGTCCCCAATTCATAAGGACCCTGTGTACACAGAACAAAGCATTGCCCAGTCCTGTGCCATTCCTGTGATCATTAGCATATTAACCACTGTGATCCATAGAGATTTCATTAACTAATTTTTTTAAAGTAGATCAAGAGAGCTTTCCATCTAGACCATCTTATACTGGAAGCTACAGCGAACCTTGGTCAACATCATAGTAACTTGCAATTTTCCACCGGTAGTTGGTAGCTGCATATGAGGTATATGGTCTGAGATTTGACCTTAGCTCAGCAAGAACTATACTGCTGAGCCATTATACCACTATCCATTAAACCAGGAGCAACATATACTAAATTACTGATGAGGTTTAGAATATGGATTAACTTCTGTTCGATTATGACGCTTTAATCAATGAATTTTTTTAAATCTTGCCTACAAGAAGTTTATGTTCCCAAGAGGGAAGGCAGACAACAAATTAAATCAATAGACTAGATGGTCCTTCATAGTTGGCAAGAGAAAATAGAATAAAGGTGAGTGTGTGTGCCTGGGGGCATTAAGGTAGATGATCAGAGCCTGGGTCTTGGAATGTTGTCTGTGAACATGAAAGAAAGGAGAACATGTGGATATTGGTGGGAAGAGCATTCCCAGCAGAGTAATGAGATGCAGAGGGAGGAGCCCTTTGGATGTACCGTGAGTTACTCTTAGGACATTCAGAGCCAAGTCCACAAGTGGAGGTGACCCTACCCACACCCAGACTTTCTAAAACGAAGCATCAAAAGTAGCTCACTCCCCAAAATGGACCCTGATCTCTCTGCAACCTCTAAAATTTATCCCCAAAGACTCTTTCCTCCTGAAATAACCATCGGCAGGCCTCAGACCAAAGCTATCCCTCCCCTCAAAATAATACTTAAGGCTCAACTTTTGCAGGAAAGAAGGGTGTCAGAAAAACAACAGACCTGAAATCAATTCGCTTCCCACTTAAACCCACAAGAGTTGTTTGCAACCAGCAACTGTGGTTGAAACAACTCCCTAGGCCACCATGTCCCTAAATGTGTGTTGAGCGGTTCATTAGCTCTGCAATGAGTCTGTGAGGAGCTGTTTTCTTCACCACTCAACAAATGCCTTTCAAAGGCCTGGTATCACGCATCCTCATGGAGCAGTAGGACAGCTGTCTGCCCCAGTGGACTCCTCTTGCGTCCTACCCAAAGAACATTTCATCAACCCTCCCATTAGCCATACCTGCCAGCCCAGCCAGGATGACCAGGAGCGTGGGGATGCCTTTCCAGAGGTCCTCCATCTCATTATTTTCTTCCTCACCCTGAGGAGAGAAAGCAAACAGGTATGAGTCAAGTACCATTCAGAGATAGGCTGCACCCCTACCAGGAAATGTGAACAGTTTAGATAAGCACCATGTGATCAGTCATCATGTGATTAGCAGTATCAACCTCACCGAGGGACTTGGTTAAGAAAGCAAATTCTACGCCCTTTATGTCCCCATGTGTGTCAGAGTACAATTGTACTCCAAAGGGTTTTCAATGGCTGATTTGGGAAGTTGGCAAGACTTTCTTCCAAAGTGTCTCTGGGTAGATTCCATCCTCCAACTTTTGTTTAGTACCCAACCACAGTAGCCATTGGTATCATCCAGGGACTCACCCACTGCCATTCAGTAGATTCCATAGCCACCCTAAGACTATTCATCTTTAAGAGAACAGACAATCTCATCTTGCTCCCAAGGAGCAACTGGTGGGTTTAAACCATTAAACTTGTGGTCGGTAGCCCAGCACTTACGCCACAGGGCCCCAAAGGGATTCAGATCTCCTGGATCAAAAATGGGGGGGGGGGTAGTTCCATTACTCTGTGGGTTAGTAAGTTCTACAGATGATATTTGTACCTGCTCTGGTTTGAGAATCACTGAATTCAGTGATCTTACCTTCTGGGCCCATTGTGGGATATAGGGGGCCTGTCATTACCATGGAATTATTGGCCAAGATGTAGAGAGTGAACTGACTTGTATTCATTATAAGCATGATGCTTTTTGATCAAGGATAAAAAATTTGTCTTTAATCTTAGCCACCGGAGTTTACACTCTCAAGAAGTGTGTCTCAGGAAGACACACAACAAAATAAATACAAGAGGACGTAAATAAGTTCATAGACAATTGAATTTAAAATCTATTGGAATTGTTCCACAAACTTAAACTTTTTAAAGTTCCCTAGGAGAAGGTGGCCCAGGGTATGGATAAAAATTGAAGTTACTGATAATTTTGAAGAAAGAAAGGAAATAATGTACATCAACAAAGAAAGATTTTACAAGACAATTTTGTTGTTAGTATTCATTTATTCTATTTCAATATTTCAAAGTGCCCTGGTGATGTAATGGTTCTGCATCGGGCTACTAACCCCAAGTTCAAATGTTTGAAAACACCAGCCCCTCCTCTGGATAAAGATGGTGCTTTTTACTCCCATAAGAGTTATAGTTTTGGAAACTTACAAGGGCAGTTCTGCCCTGTGCCATCAGGTCTCTGTGAGTCAGCATTGACTCCATGGCAGTGAATACATGCTTGCAATATTTCATTTAAGCAATCAGCATCTGTATTTCTCATATATCATTCTATGATTAATGTTGATACTAAACATTACTATCAGGAGCCCTGGTGGTGTAGTGGGTTATTGGTTGGGCTGCTAACTACAAGGTCAGCAGTTTGAAAGCACCATCCACTCCATGGGAGAAAGAAGAGGCTCTCTACTATTGTAGAGTTCTCAGAAACCCACAGGGTTAATTCTCCCTTCTCTATGAGTCACAATGGGTCGAAATCAACTCCACGGCTGTGAGTCTGGATTTTGGGTTTGGAGAAATTTCGAAGGATATGGTTTGTTAGGGGAGGAAGTCCATGGTCGGCAGGGTGGAGGTGGGGGGAGGCAGACTAAGAACTGTCTGCAAAACCAGAAGCCATTTAGGCCCAGAAAAAGGCTTTCATTCCAGCCATTCTTAGATCTCACAGATATATAGCACACAGGGACCTGGGGCTAGTATTTCAGGTAATGTCTTTGACATCTGCACAGATATCACAAGACACAGGGCCCCAAGTGGGATTTTCGAATGTATCCACATACTCATTGTGGTCACTTGTCTTCTCAGAGACAATTCTGACTCAGAGTAGCCATACAGATTGTACTGCTCCCGAGGGGTTTGTGACTGTGATCTTTATATGAGCACGTCATCAAGTTTGCTTTTCCTTCAAAGCCCCTGGCTGGGTCAGAACTGCCAACCTTTCTGTTAGCAACTAAGCATTTAACCTTTGCATCACCAGGGCTCCTATAAGACACACAAAAACTAAAACAGTCATGAGAAAATAACCACCACAAAAAAAAACCCTCATATGAGTTGAAAGAGTTGATACACACAGGCCAGTGACAACTTTTTCCACTGAAGCACGTTACTGAGTGTTTATAGCTTTCTAGAGCCATCTAGAGTTCCCCTCCTCTTCATTTTTCTGGTTCTCAAAGCACCCAGCCAATAACTGAAAGGCCAGTGATTTGAATCCACTAGACACTCTGTGAGAGAAAGATTCAGTTTGGGGAATTCTATGGGGCTGTTCTACAGTACCCTCCAGGGTTGGATGAGCCAGAATCAACTCTATGGCACTCGTTTGGGTCTTGACTACATGGTAATAACTCGTGTGCTTGCTTCATGGGGACCCTAATGGGAGGTCATTTGGAACCAGTGCAGAGAATCCCTGAAGACTGCTCCAAGACCATGTTGCACTGCAGTTGCACACAACCTGAGGTAAGTTAAGACCCTGACTAAATAAATCATTTACTAATTTTCAAGTTTCAGTTTATAAACTCTACCAATAAATCACTCTATCGGTCATCTGGAACAAGAAGCTACCGCAAAGGACCAGAGAGGTTAAGTCACCTAGTTATAAAAAGGTTATTATGCATCTTACAGTAATGAACAGAACATGTGGAATAGACCCTAACAAAATAGTAGCAATAAATTAAGGTGGGTTACTAATCACTAATAACCAATTTAAGGCATGTCAGGTACTAAGCAGAGATGATTAAACATATTAAACACCCCTTGTGGCCATTGTCCTCACGTGAGATTCATATTGATTATCTGTATGAGAAAATAATTCTGTTTCTGAAGAGTCCAAAGATTTTAACAATCAGAATTTCTGCGCAGTGTGGGAACACCTTGGGAGCTGATTCCAACCCAAACCATCTCTCTGAAATAAAACAGCACTCACACTCCTCCTACAGCCCAAAGATCCAGTTCTGTGTCCCCTGACATGTGGGGCATTGGTTTTACCTTGGCATGGCCTGACAAAGGACAGGCGGTCTTAGAACTTCCATAGGTTTCACAACAATTTTAGCTTCTATAAATATATCTCATTAATGGGAAATCTTTATAGAAAGTAAAATTGTAGATGTGTCACTTAACAGTGTCCAAGGAGGAACGTGGTAATAGCATAGCAAGTTTTCTATCTCCAAGTCCTGGCCCACAAAATTGTAGCACAGTCTCTGCGACATGTCCCTGAGAGCAAAATTCACTGCCGGCCAGAGAATGATTACATTATACATCGCCCCAAATATCTAAACGCTCAGAGTAGCTAATTTTTAACTTTGTAGAAGTTACGGGAAAATAGCAATACCCTCCCTGGAAAAAACTCAGCCTAAGGCTTCCTCAGAGCTAAAGCTTCCTGGTCCGGAGGGTTCAGTAATCAGTTGGAGGAGGCCCCGATTTCCTTGTGGATCAATCAACCGACTAGACAAGCCCCCGTGCAGGAGAGGGGACAGCGAGAAGCTTACCTCTGGCTGTTGATCTCTCAGGACTTCAGAGGAAGCATTCCATTTCCAAAAGGCTCCTTGCTTGTGTTCTCTCTCGACACAAACTCCAGAGCAAATTCCTGCTGGCCCTTAGAAAGTCCCAGTCTCCCTTAACCTGTGTACGGACAGCACCTCATGACATTTTTCTGTCACGTCACTGGCTGGGTTATAAATAAAGGTGTGGCCTCTGCAGCAGGCCCCACACTCCAGGAAGGTGTAAGTGCCCCAGAGGAGAATATTTCCTCAATAATCATTAACCAATCCCAAACAGGAGCTGCAGACCAACCGGGGCGGAGATACCAAAGGCCTCAGGGCCCCAACTGTCCTCCAAGCCAGCCTCTTCCCCTCATTCCTCCCTTGAGACTGCTTCAAGTCCCTTAGAGCCGGGTACTTCTCAACCCCCCCTTTACCTGGTTTTTCTCATTCCCAAAGAAACAGGAGACACACAGGGGGGTGGGGGCAGGGGCTGGACGTGATGGATGGCCTCAGATAGCCTGGCTGACCTTGGTCCCTCATTGCCTCCAGCACAGACCCAGAGGCTGGTAAAGCCGGTTCTGTCTCCTGCCCAGGCACCTACACATTCATGAAAACAGGTTTTTTTGCAAGGAAAAAAACAATCCTAAAAGTGAAGCCCTCTGGAATCCACAGTGTCATTTTCTGTGGAGCATTATTACATGAGAACTAGGGTCGAACGTGGTAGTCCTCAGGCCACTGACTGTCCGCCTCCATCTCCTCAGAGATGAACCAATGAGCTTAGTGGTTCAGGGTGTTCATGCCAGCTCATGGCAAGCCCTGGTGTCACCGAGTAAGAGTGCTCCTTGGCAGGAGTCTTTCTAAAAGTAGCTCAGCATGGCCTTTGGTTTGTACCACCCAGGGCCCTCACGCCAGGCCAATCTCAGGAGATGACCACTGCCCCAAATCCTGACTCAAAGCAGCACCCTATGGTCCACTCTAGTGGATCTTCTCATCGCATGGAAGCTTCTCAGAGGCCTCAGGGAGTGGGGTCTGTACATCACATGTGCATAACAAGCAGAAGGTGTCGACCATATATTTACACCAAACTCTGAGGCATTTAGACAGGAGCACTGTCCAGGAATGGCTGCTGGTCTCATTCACATTCTCTCTAGCCACCAGGAAGTAGCCATGGTGGCGTAGTGGGTAGCACCTTGGACTGTGTAATAGTCTAGGTACTTTAGAGAAACAAATCCACAGCAACTCATGTATAAGAGAGTTTTATGTAAAGGTTAAGTGTGCATCATGAAAATATCCCAACCCAATGCGGCCCAAGCCCACAAGTCCAACATTAACCCAACACCAGACCACAAACTCCTCCACCTCACAAAACAGAGGCAGTGAGGCCGACTGCAGGAGGAAACCCGAGTCAGTGAACGAATAAGCATCTCAGCACTAGCAGGGGTCTCCACACAGCTGCTCCAGCACCCAGGGCTGCATCGGGATAGGTCCATGCGGCTTCTCCTTGGGGATGTCTTGTAGGAAGTCAATCTTGCAAGCTGAAGCAGGGAGCTGCTAAGGCAGCTACATCCTGGTGCGACCATCACAAAGCAAGAGACCCGAGAGCTAGAAAGGCGAGGCTCACCACCCATTTATCCCTCCACCTTTCAATTAGCCCCACATGTCTTTATCGGCCAGGTTGGCACAATTACTAACTCAGGCTGCTAGCTGCAAAGTCAGCAGTTTGAAACCAGCAGCAGTTTCGTAGCTAGCAGCCACCAGATAGTGGAAGAGCCTCTGGTGACAACTTGATCTCAGCCAGAGAAGTTGATTTTGTATATCTGACCTCCAGAATGATAAGACAGCAAGTATGTATTGATTTAACCCACCAAGCCTGTGCCCACCTCCCTGGGAGATGGACAACAGTGGTTGAAGGGAGACATCGAACAGTATAAAACATGACAAAATAATAACAATGTATAAATTATCAAGGGTTCATGAGGGAAGCAAGGTGGGGAGGGAGAAAAAAAATGAGGAGCTGAAAATGTGCTTGACACGTTTTAGAATTATAAGTAGGATCAAAGTAGATTCTAGAACCAGGCCAATTTATAACGCTACATGTTTGGGATGATTTTTTTCACCACACCCTCAACAGCACTAAATATTGTCAACCAAGAGTGACAAAAATTATTTTCTCACCAGCCCTTAATTCAAAAAGTTCTATGAAAAAAGTAGTTAATAATAATATTCCCTGAATGTTGCAAGAACATGTTATTATAGAATTTCAGATGTATGAAATGTCACATGCAATGCCTCTAAAGGCTATGTCATCTTTAACAATAATCAGATCATCAGAGTCATAAGAAGCAATATTGACTCTAGATCAAGCAACAGAAAATGCACCCTCTATTGAAATCACTGTAAAATAGTTTAATTTGCAAACTGAGCAGGATTCGGTAGGAATGGTTTATCTTCCAAGAAGGGTCAACTGAGGCTGGAAGATCCTCCCCAAAGTGACTCACTCACAAATCTGGAAAGTCAGTCCTGCTGTGGGCTCGGGACTGCTCTGTGGTTGAGTGGAGCGATTGGTTCTTCTTCACGTGACCCTCCCCTTGGGGGTGCTTGAGCTTTCTCACAGCATGGGAGTTGGGTTCCAAGAGCAAATATGCCAAGAGAAAGAGCAAAGAGAAGTTCCTGGTCTTTTAAGGGATGGACCTGAAATTGGCACAGTGTAACTACCAGTTTCCTATTGCTGCACAATAAATAGCCACCATTTAGTGGCTTAAACAACATTGATTTATTAATTCACTATTCTGTAGATTTGTAGTCCCGCCAACCTTAACTGAATTCTCTCCTTAAAGGCTAAAGTCAAGTCAAAGTGACAGCACAGTTGGGCTCTTATTTGGAAGTTCTGGAAAGAATCTGCTTATAAGCTTTTTCAAGTTGCTTGTTGAATTAATTTCCTTTTTTGTTATAGGACTGAGGTTCCTATTCCCTTCCTGGTTGTCAACTGGGGGTGTTCTTTTCATCAGCTTTCCAACTTCCTTGTCATGTGGCCCTCCATTCTCAAAGCAAGCAAAACAATACACTGAATTCCCTATAATCTCTACCCTCCACTTTTGCTGTCAGTGGAAGAAAATTCTTCTCAAAAAGGGTGCATGTAATTAGATTCAGCACACTTAGAAATTCTCTCTGTCAGCCTAAAATGGAGCATAATCATGAATGTGACTTCTCAAGATATAGATGGTTTCCACCCACATCAAATGGAGTGATGTTATATGTGTTAGCCTGGGTAGACTAGAGAAACAAATCCATGGACACACATATGTGTATAAATGGAGAGAAAATGTTTTGAGAAATGATGTACAAATGTGCTTTGCACAATTGATGTGTGTATGGATTGGGATAACAGTTGTATGATCCCCTAATAAAATGTTTAAAAAAAAAAAAAAGAATGATGGCAACTATGTACAAATATGCTTGATACAATTGATGCATGGATTTTTATAAGAGTTGTAAGAGCACCCAAAAAAGATCTCTTAATTAAAAACAAAAGAATAGGGGAAAAAAAAAAGAAAGAGGTTTATATACAAAAGGAATTGGACATTGAGAAAACATCCCAACCCAATCCAGTCCACGACCATAAGTCTGATATCAGTCCATATGTCTAATACCAATCTATAAAGTCGTCTTCAGGCTCACGAAACACATGCAATGAAGCCAAATGCAGGATGATCACAAGCCAGTGGGTAGAAAGTCTTTGGGTCCAGTGGCGTTGTAAGCATCTCAGCACTGGCAGGGGTCTCTCTGTGGCTTCTCTGGCTTCAGCGGTCTGGTGGCATCCATGTGGCTTGTCTTCTGCAATGTCTCCCAGGGCGTGGCCGAGAGAGATGTGTCTTCCACCTCTAAGGAGGAAGTACCATTTTCCCAGAATTCTCAGGACAGGCCATGCCCACACAGAAGTCTCATTGGCTATCTACAGATTGACAGCTTAGACTCCACCCCTACACTCTTAATCCTTAAATTGACACCAGATTCGGTGACTGCCACATTATACAAAGATGTGAGTCATTGGGAGTGTATTAAAGTTTAAATTTCTGAGTTTGAAGAAGGCTATTACTTATAGTGGAAGCATAAAGTCCATTTATGATCAGCCTCCTTTGAATTCCTCCTGATCATTATTTTTTACCTGCATAGTGACTGAGGGTTATTGTGGAAATGAAATTTCTGTTGTTCATGTTAACTTTCATCATGGACTCCTTCTTGCTTCTGAGAATGAGAGTTAGATTTCTTTTGACTACAGATATGTGCACTGATCAAGCAAATATTTTTCTGAAGTCACTGTTTTCTCCAGTTACTCTCCAACAGACATTGAAAATGCTTTTGTCCTGTGAAATTTTGATGATGTTTTTATTATTTTTTTATGCCCCATGTAATTACTCAACTGGTCCATGGTATGAATAGAGCAAGAGTATGTTGGGGCAGGCAGCAGGCTTGCTGAGTGAAAGTTTGGGGCATTTATCAGCACTAAAGGAGCTTTGTGACACTTGGTGGATGACAGAATAGTGAGGCTGAAGGATGGCAGCATGTGTGATTTCTTCCTCATAAGAATCATCCTAGGACATACATGGAGTGTGACTCTACGTCCCCCTTGCATACCCAGAAGGAGTCCGGTGTGGTGCCCATGCTAGTTACTCAGATGATGAAGCTGAGTTGAGCAGAACCCAACCTAACGAAGAGAAAGATGTTTCATTTGGGGAGATTATGTGCATTGCTGCAATCCTGATGGCTTGCTCTGAACTTGACTAAGTTTATGGATGATGATGCTTGACGTTCCGATCATAAATGATGATTCTTCAGATCAAAGAACGGGGAAAGAGAGGATGGGGGGGAAGATGCTGAGAGAATTGTTGTCATTGTAGATGGAACTGAACCAGGACAGGAGTAATTTTTCAAATGGGAAAGGGACAATGGCTAGATCCAAAGTATGGCCAAGGTGAAATGGAATTCCTTGGCATGGCTCTTCTAACTCCCAACAAATGACTAAGTGGGAGTATACAATAAGGAGAGAAGACTCAGTGGTTGGTCAATTTAGATATTCTTTGGGCATTAAAGAGAGTCATTTTAACAAAAGGAACAGAAAATCTCTTGACCCTCAAGAAAGAAGAATCAGACACT